TACTAAAAAAGGGATAAAATAGATTAATAATTAAATTTAAGAATAATTAAAATAAAAAATATTTATGCAACACTTAATTTATTATTTGATTTAATTATAAATATAATTTACATTTATATAAAAAAAATATNAATAATTAAATTTAAGAATAATTAAAATAAAAAATATTTATGCAACACTTAATTTATTATTTGATTTAATTATAAATATAATTTATATTTATATAAAAAAAATATTATTCAAATACACTCATGTCCAACGCACATCGTGCGCACCCATGTGTTTCTAATTTTTTGTTGAGATTAGCCCTAAATTCTGCCCAGCGGGCTATTTTGATCTTGTGCTTAACAGAAGCAACCTTTCCAAACTTCGGCTAACCACACTACCAGCTAAGGGGCCCAGTCCAGCTAATTTCATGTTTATTGATACCTCCATAAATAAATAGAAAAAGAAAAGGAAAAACTTATACCTTAAAAAATTTAATAATTCTTAGTTTATACTCTTAAATATTAAATTTTTTATATTACAATCTCACTATATTAAAATTGTTACAATGTAGCCCTTTTGTTAACTTTAATTAAGAATGAAAATCTCATTTTAAGGTCACCTTAGATCTTTAAATCGTTAACTATCTTTCGACTAACCTAACCTCCTCCGTTCTTCCGGACCAAAAAGGAGTAGTACATGAATATTCACGTGTTGTCCATCGACTAAGTCTTATGACCTGATTTTAGCCCCTCTTAAATGAAATAAGCGGATTATCATGATGGGTATTCTATGAAATCCGATAATATGGTAAGAAAGAAATAGATGAAATCTTTCTTTCTACCATACTATCCATAATTATTATATCTAGATAGCCAATTATTCAATAATTTAATTGGAAAATAAGATTATTATGGTAATCAAATTCTAAATGATGATGAGTATCCTACACCTAAGCTCAATGATAGCAATCTCATTCTTTGATTGAGTATTTTTTGAAAAAAAAAAAAAGAATAAAATTCTAAAATCAAATTCATTTCCAAAATTAACTTCGTTCCTTAAATTCAACTCTCTTCCTAAATCAAACTCCATTCTAAAATTAAGATGGTGGCATTTCGCCTAATGAATAAGTAATGCACAAGGAACGGAAATCCCCCAAATGTACGACGTGGATGGGCAGAAGATAAAAAATCAACATCGTCGTAATGAACTTATATGCTAAAAGAACCAACTTAATGTGGTACCAATTCTTTATTTATTATTATTCTTGCCATTGTCATGATAATTACATATCACCTCAAAATATAATTCAAATAATAACAGAGATAAACTATAAATTCAAACGTCTTAAAGTTTAGATCTTGGCAATTTTTTAGAGTCAAACCATAAGTAATTTATCTTTCATGAATATCTGAATCTTAGCGGGGATGACTTATTTTTGACCGAACAGGAGAAGAGATTAATTGAATCGTGTGATTAGCTCTAAACTCTGCCCAGCGGGCTGTATTGATCTTGGGCTTAACAGAAACAACCTTCTCAAACTGTACAAGTAGCTAAGATGCCCACCAGAAAGAGAAAGAACAAAAAAAGGGAAAACTGGATTTTATACTTTAAAAAGTTTAAGAATTCTTAATTTTACTCTTAACTATTAAAATTTTTATTTTACACTCTAACTGTATTAAAACTATTGTGATGTAGCCCTTTCATTAATTTTCGTTATTTATTCCGTCAATGTCAATAAGGTAATTTTTGACAGAATAAGAAATGAAAACTAATAGATGGATTTTATTACAACACTTTTAATAAATTAAAAGTACAATATGAAAAATCTCATTTTTTAGGGTACAAAATAAAAAATATTAAAATTTTTTAGAGTGTAAAGTGAGATTCTACCAAAAAATAATAATGTAGAGATGAATGGATTTCTATGATTACCGTAACAGTGAAATATCTTGCGGTAATGCCTATATACCAAGTCTAAATTAATTAGAGGTAATTCGTGTCTGAAGGCATGGTGTAATGTGAATGATTTTCAGAGAAATTTTGGTAGTTATTTAATGAGTTTATTTGAGATTGTCGGATGAGTTTATTAAAACCTTGTCTGCTTTATATTATAGATGTCACTTCCGACACTAATTACAATTACATTAATGGCCTTATTTGAATGACGGTAATTTTAATTAAGAATAAGAATCTCATTTCTAAATTTTAATGATTATTATATTTTAACTACTCGATAATTTAATTGGAGAATAAGATTAACATGATAATTAAATTTTTAATGATGGGGTGTATCCTAAACCCAAGCTCAATGGTGGCAATATCACACTTACTTTGATTGAGTATGTTTTTTAAAAAAAAAAGAATAAAATTTTAAAATCAAACCCTTTTTCCAAAATTAACTTCATTCCGTAAATTCGACTCTCTTCCTAAATCAAACTTCATTCTAAAATTAAGTTTACTCCTAAAATAAAATTAAAAAGATATTCATTCTCGTACTAGTTTACTAACAATAAATAACCACTAATTATAAGATTACGGTGATTAATGAAATTCCGGAGTCTTATTACTAAGAATAAAATATTCATTCTCAATTAAAAATAAGATTTCTGTCATCTAGGCGAACCTAAATCTTTTTTTTTTTGAAACCAGTATTCTAACATTTCAATGTCAGACATTCTAGACTTCATCTCTAATTGTAAATCCATGGATTAAATGTCATGTTTCGGACCTACAAGTACTTGCTCCACGTCTCTGTATTGACTTATTGAAGATCGCACACTTTTACTAAAATCCAAATTTGTCTGAGTTTTCAAAAGGGTAGATTACATTTTACACTCTCGAACTATTAATTCGGTTTAACTAATTTTTTTTTTTTATATTGCACTTCAAATTATTAATTTTATTTTATATCATTACAATAGATAACGATTATCAATTTTTTGACGGATTAGAAGGGGCAAACTTAAAAATTTGTCAAAGGAGAGGTTTTTAAGTGTCTAATACCACTTTATTTTACCACTTTTACAACCAAATGGTTGATGATCAGACAAATAAGGTCGGGCACATGAAGAAAATTTAGAATTTAAAAAGGATAAAATCATGGATAGACATTTTTCTTGATTTTTAACATGCATATGTGCAATAGACNCGAGAGGTTTTTAAGTGTATAATACCACTTTATTTTACCACTTTTACAACCAAATGGTTGATGATAAGACAAATAAGGTCGGGCACATGAAGAAAATTTAGAATTTAAAAAAGATAAAATCATGGATAGACATTTTTCTTGATTTTTAACATGCATATGTGCAATAGACAATTGCTTATTGGTAGTACAGATCTCTTATATGCACATTTGTCTTAAAAAATTAACATTTGTTATCTATTAAAGTGATATGAAATAAAATTAATACTTTAGAGTGTAATGTGAGAAATTTTATAATTGAAGGTATAAAATAAAATAAAAGTAATAGTTTAAGGGGGGTAAAGTATAATTTACCCTTCTCAAAAATGAGATAGTGGCATTTCACCTAGAATAGGTAATGGACAAGGAACGGAATCCCCCAAATGTACGACGTGGATGGAGCACAAAATAAAAAACAACATCGTAATGAACTTAAATGCTAAAAAAACCAACTTAATGTGGTGCCGATTCTTTATTTATTATTCTAGAGATTGTAATGAAAATTACATATAATCCTACACGTTAACTCAAGTAGAAATATAATGAATTCTAAGAGATTCTGAATTCAAATCTTAACAACTATTTGAAACTAGTTATTAAATGATTTATTTTTTATATATATACTAATCATGGGATTTATTTCTCATAAATATCCTAATCATGTCATGTATAATCTATTTTTAACTAGATCAGTGAGGAAATTAGTCGAGATATGTATAAATTAGTCCGAATACCTATGAACATTGAACCCAAAAAAATAAAATCCTAGTGCTGTCGTGTATAACTTGGTTTTGACCAGATCGATGATGAGAGAATTAGTTGAGATGTGCGTAAATTTGCGCAAAAACTTATAAACATTAAACCAAAAAAAATAAAATAAAATTACATGACTTTTTTGGATACCAACCCGACAACTGCATAATTTGGGGTGAGGCCGAATTTTGTAGGGTGAAATTCCTCTAAGTAGAGTTGCTTNGACACGTTAACTCAAGTAGAAATATAATGAATTCTAAGAGATTCTGAATTCAAATATTAACAAACATTTGAAACTAGTTATTAAATAATTTATTTTTAATAAATATACTAATCATGTGATTTATTTCTCATAAATATCTTAATCATGTCATGTATAATCTGTTTTTAACTAGATCAGTGAGGAAATTAGTCGAAATATGTATAAATTAGTCCAAATACCTATGAACATTGAACCCAAAAAAATAAAATCCTAGTGCTGTCGTGTTTAACTTGGTTTTGACCAGATCGATGATGAGAGAATTAGTTGAGATGTGCGTAAATTTGCGCGAAAACTTATAAACATTAAACCAAAAAAAATAAAATAAAATTACATGACTCTTTTGGACACCAACCCGACAACTGTATAATTTGGGGTGAGGCCGAATTTTGTAGGGTGAAATTCCTCTAAGTAGAGTTGCTTGAGCAACAAGTGAAATTTCAAATTCAAACCGGGAAAGCCAGCAGTCTAATGCGGATGTTGACCTCACAATGTCTCATTAATGCAGATTTTTTTTTTTTTTTTTTTTAGTGAAGTTGAGCGGTTCATTAATGCAGATTCAAACCCCATTTCACCTCTTTATACAGAGACCCACTTACTTTCAACAAGGAAATCTCAAGAATCCTAAACATTTTGACTCTCATCACACAAACTCTCCTTTGAATTGGTCATCCCTCTCTTAAATCTGCAGTCCAAGTGTCCCATTTTTCTACATTTTTATTGTTCAAATTACATATGCAAAGCACACTTTATTAGATATATATATGGAGTAGGTGTAATGCTAGTTTCTTGAGTGGTTTAGTTATACTTCTCTTGCTTACGCCATTCCTAATCTCCTCCATTTCCAAGAAACTAATCTCTAAAAAAAAATCATAATTAGTCACTGTTCTGTTCTATCATCAAAGTATGTCAATCTTAGGAAGCAGAAGCAACAACAGTGCAAACATGGGTACACCACTTTTCCATGAATTCAAGAAGCAAGCTTCTTTCTTTTTGAAGGAGAAGATCAAGACTGCTCGATTGGCTCTCACCGATGTCACACCAGCTCAATTGTAAGCTTGTTCTTTACAATTAAAGTTAATGTGTTTAAGATCATTTGGCTGTTGTTTGATGTGGGTACTGTTTTGAATTGTGTTTAAAGGTTGACAGAAGAAGCAACAAATGGAAATCCAGAGGGACCAGACACTCGAACCCTGAAGATGATTTCTCGGGCTGCTTTTGAGGTTGATGATTATTGGAGAATTGTGGAGATTCTACACAAGAGGTTTTTGAAAGTTTCTGTTTTTTTTTTTTTAATGTGTTTGGTCAGTTGTACCATGTGTCTCTATATGATTCTAATTGAGAAATGGATGATATTGCTCTGTTGTGTTCATGTTTATGCTTCAGATTGTTGAGATTTGATAAAAATAGCTGGAGGATGTCATATAAGGCTCTGATTGTGCTAGAGCACTTGTTGACCCATGGGCCAGAGAGTGTTGCAGAGGAGTTTCAAAGTGACCAAAATTGCATAAGTGAGATGGGAAGCTTTCAACATATTGATGAAAAAGGGTAAAGGGTCTTCCAGTTACTCTTCATTCATTTCTGTGTATTGGGTTTCCTGTGCTTCTGTCTGTTGTATGATTGATTTTTACAAATTTGAATGTTTTCTGTGCAGATTCAACTGGGGAATGAATGTTAGAAAGAAATCTGAGCGGTTATTGAAACTGCTTGAAAAAGGACCAGAGTGGAAAGAAGAGAGGAATCGATCTCGGAAGATAACTAGAGGAATTCAGGGGTTTGGGAGCTTCTGCCAGAGGACTACTTTTGGTCAAGAAATTCTAGAGGACCCCTCACTGAAAACATATGGAAGGAGTAATTCTCAGTTTAATGATCATGGAAATCAGGAAGATCAGTTTTCCCCATGGAACGATCAAAATCTGGCTAAAACAAGGCCTGGAAGAGCAAAGCAGATCCATGGTGAGAATGTCAGTTCAGTTTTCAGCAAGAAAGTGGAGGATTTGAACTATTTGGATAGTTTTACAGATCACCAGAAGGTTGAAAACTTCGGTTCTCGAGGGAGTTTCAAAGAAGATATGGCTCCGAGGAAGGAAGTTCTCTCAGGGGACTTGGAAGAATGGAACTACACAGGCGAGTCAAATCCTCTTTTGGATGACCAGAGAAATGATCCGGGGATTGGTAATTCCGTGGAAGAAGACCACCCATTCAATGATACTGAACATCTAAGCAATGTCTCATTGCTTTCTTCTGCAGATCAACTCTTGCAAGCTTATTGACAACCAGGATGTTGTAGCAGTGAACGAAGTAGACACCTTGCCTGCAATATACTAAAAAATAATAATAGCTCAGTGTACGAATCCCCCGTCACTATAAGATTAGTTTCAACTGTGGAAGTTTTTGTTGGTTGTATCATCATGTGTGCCGGATTCGGTACTAAAGTAGTTGTCAGATGTTGTGATTTCCGTTGTGTTTAGGAGTCACTGTTAGATTTTCTGTGGTGGAGTTGGGTAAAGTCCTTCAGAATATAGATAAAAACAAAACAAAAAACAAAGAGGGCCTTGTATGAATGTTATGGTCATTATTGTCGATGCTTCCTACCAGTTTGGCTTGACCTGGTATCAATATTTGTCAAATTATATTTGTAATGTAACATCTCTATATCATCGGGAGTGTAATCCGGGTGGCAACTAGAGTTGATAATCACGTTGAACTTTACGAAGTCCAGCCAAACTTGTTGAGTTTGTTTTACTAAACAAGCTTAAAAATTTATTAAAGCTCAACTCATGTAAAAACTAAACTGAATCAGCCCCAAAACGAGCCAAAGTTTTACAAATTCGAGTCGAGCCTTTTAGACTCATTTTTCTAAATAAGCTGAACTTGAGCCAAGTCGAGTCTAGTGGCAACCCCTTGCCTTTTGGTGGAATGAGTCCCTAAACAAAAGGAACAACACATTTAATTAATCTTCTAGTTTTAATCATAATTGGCTAATCAATTCAAATTAGCACGGCAGGCCAAAAGTTCACAACTGCTCATGGAAATGTGATAATGACAGAAATAAAAATATGCCATCCGCCCAGCAGCCTCTTTGGTAATTGGTTTTGCAACAAGAAGTTACAGAGAACTTGCAAGCAGCAAATTCTTTACCTAAAACAGGATTACACTATCCTCCCACATCTCTCGTCCTGGTGAATTAGAAGCATTTCCTGTGCACAATGGAAGGTCCTGATTCATCATACTCTACCTTTGCAATCCACATCTGCATTCCAAATATAAAAGATCTCTCTTTAGTAATCCTAGNATCTCTCGTCCTGGTGAATTAGAAGCATTTCCTGTGCACAATGGAAGGTCCTGATTCATCATACTCTGCCTTTGCAATCCACATCTGCATTCCAAATATAAAAGATCTCTCTTTAGTAATCCTAGGGAACATCTGGATTATATTCAAACGAATACTAGCATACGATTGTTACTCTGTTATGGAGGAAGTATAATATGAAATAAACAGAAAATACGAATGGCAGAATCAAGTAAAAAGATGGTAATGTCGGTTTCTGCACACGATAGAGTTATTAGAAATGAGATGACAGAAACGCAGCCAATCTGTTTCAAAAGATGTGCCTTCCACAAGGTAAAGGAAATCGCTTTCAAAAAATATGAAACACAATTTTCACAAAACAATAACCATGACCAGCAATATGACAATTCAAGTTCAATGATAATTTTTAGGATTTCTTACTTCAATTCCATCAGCATCTTGTACTCGTATAGTTGTATATGTGATATGCATGCATTTAGGTCTGCTATTCATATACATAGTAAGCATGATTGGGACAACGAAGTCGATTAAAGATTGAAAGTTAAAGCAACACACCTGCTGGAAGGTGCTGAGGGATGCCAAGATAGAACCTCCAATCCAAACACTATACTTCCTCTCAGGTGGAGCGACCACCTTGATTTTCATGCTGCTTGGGGCCAAAGCAGTTATTTCCTTGCTCATTCTGTCAGCAATACCTGGGAACATGGTGGAACCACCACTGAGGACAATGTTTCCATATAAATCCTTTCTAATATCGACATCACACTTCATGATGGAGTTGTATGTTGTTTCGTGAATGCCTGCAGCTTCCATTCCAATCATGGATGGCTGGAAAAGGACTTCTAGGCATCGGAAACGCTCAGCCCCAATAGTGATAACCTGCCCGTCAGGTAACTCATAGCTCTTCTTGACGCCAGTGCTAGTATTGGCAGTCTCTAACTCCTGCTGGTAGTCAAGGGCAATGTATGCTAGCTTTTCCTTCATGTCCCTCACAATTTCACGCTCAGCCGTGGTGGTGAATGAGTAGCCACGCTCAGTTAATATTTTCATGAGGGCGTCAGTGAGATCACGACCAGCTAAGTCAAGTCGTAGAATGGCGTGTGGGAGAGCATACCCCTCATATATGGGAACAGTATGGCTGACACCATCTCCAGAGTCCAAAACAATGCCTGCAGCACAAACAAACAGCATCCATAAACACCCAGCATGGCTCCTTATGTTCAATCATTGGACACCCCCGAAATTGCTGCTGCAGGAAGAAATTAAACAGGGCAACTACTTGTCACTAAAAAAAAAAACCAAAACATGAAGCTACATATTCCACATGCAATTCCTCAGCATCAAAGGCAAACAGATAAAAAAAAAAGGTTTAGTAGAATACAAACTTACATAAGGTGCTTTTGAATGTTTCTAAAAACTGACATCAAATGGAAAATCTAAAGGCTTATAGCAGCCTGTTCCTGCAAGTTATTCTTCTTTTTTTCTTTTTTCCCGTTTTGCTTTCATGTGAACATCATTAGGTGGAGCCTCAACACATAATTTATGAATATATGCTTCTTTGTTCAGACACTTAGATTGCACTTCCACTTCGATTTCTCCCAGAAAGCATGTGCACCTGTCATCTAAAGATCATTCAAATCTTAATACTAAAATTAAACCGATGTCAAGACAGCAGAGTTGTTATTGGCTTTTAGATCACTTTGTTACATTTAGTGTGTTTTAAGGCTTTCCCACTCTATCCTGAAAAAGAAAACAACACAAAATAAAAGGAAAGACAAATGATGCTAATATTCTCACCAAAGGAGAGCAAAGTGGAAACTCCATGACTCAATGCAAATCATTCTTCCTTTCAAAACCAGACTTTGACTTTAGATCCAACTTTAATTACATGAAAAAGTGAATTCAGCAGAATCCTTACCAGTTGTACGACCGCTGGCATAAAGGGACAAAACAGCCTGGATGGCAACATACATGGCAGGAGTATTAAAGGTCTCAAACATAATTTGGGTCATTTTCTCACGGTTAGCCTTTGGGTTTAGAGGGGCTTCAGTGAGTAGAACTGGGTGCTCCTCCGGGGCCACACGAAGTTCATTATAAAAAGGGTGATGCCAGATCTTCTCCATGTCATCCCAATTGCTCACAATACCATGCTCAATTGGGTACTTGAGTTAGGAAACCACGCTTGGATTGAGCTTCATCCCCAACATATGCATCCTTCTGGCCCATACCAACCATTACACCAGTATAACGTGGGCGACCCACAATGCTTGGAAACACGGCCCTTGGAGCATCATCTCCAGCGAATCCGGCCTAAAAATTTGCATTGTGATAGAAAGAATTCAAGAACAGTTATGCTCACATAATAGAAGTTACACACAGCTGAGGAGACCAAAATTTGAGAAGAAATTCCAAAAAAACAAGAATCCTGATTTGATACCTTAACCATTCCTGTCCCATTATCACAGACGAGTGGCTGAATATCATCAGCTTTGGCCATCTTCTTTCAGCAACTGATAAAGTTAGCAGCATCAGACTAGAACAACAATGCAAAAGACTGAATGAAATACAATAAGAAGAGAATAAAGGAGAAATGCTCTCAGATGTAATTTACTGTTGATTACAAGTGCATCATTTACAAGCCCCACGGAAAAAGATAAACTTTTTGCCTCTGCATCATTATTATAAATTAGTTCCTATTCTCCAGCATATTACATAGACTAGTTACTGGTAAGAAAGGATATAAAGGTTGGAAACCTTCAGTTAAGCACCGAACTCCATTCAACAAAAGCTCCATTAGGTAACAACTTATAACACCAAAAAGAATGTGCATCTCTGTTTAGTTACTTATTCCTGCCTGGATTTTTTATGAAAAAACACATTTAGAACACCTTTCTGAGGAATGTATATGACTATGTATTATGAACTCATAGGTAGAACTTGTCCCTGGATACCGGCTTGCAAGGGAACGGTGTTAGGAGTTCATGTACACAAATCAAGTCTTTTATTTAACCAATGTGGGACCATAACACACCAAAACAGTAACAGGGAATTATGCAAAAATGCCAGCAATAGCAGATAAAGAAAAAGGGGACAGTAACATTGGTTGTGCTGTATAGATGGAGGTGGCAGTGATGCAAGAAATAAGAGAAGTTTTGACTCCTTAAAACAACATTTTTTCTGGGTTCAATTTAGTAGCAACTTTTACATTTTTGGCCCCTTTTTTTCTTCCAAAAGTGAAATAAGTACATTTGACAACAAGAAATAGCATGAATTGCAAGCATGTGGCTTCCAATAACACGGGTCACACGTGGAAAAATGTTTGTGCTTGATCCTAACCGCTTACCATGGCTTTATTCTCATAAATATTCACCAAATTTCAATCTAATTCAATGACCACATACATACAAATTTACCTCATTATGTACAAAAATCAATCGCAACTGATATGTCTACTTACACTTTCCAATCATGCCAAAGTCAAATGAACACAACAGCAGGAATGATTTCAAAAAATGCGTCAATCACATTAATGCTGATCCCCTACCCACATTACAGGACGTGCTTGAACTTAAGACAAACATCTAAGTTAATAATCAAAAAACATCAGATCACATCCATGTCCACAGCTCCAAAACGACAGCATAATGTTCACTAAATGATTACAAATCACACATATTTTTCAACAAATTCACGACAATGTGGTCGAATCACGAGCAAAAATAGAAAGAAGGATCCTATACACACCAAATTTGTGCACGCCCCCAAACAGAGATCAGATCCGTCAAAAAAATAACGAAATCAACATCAAAACAAAATACGAAATTCACCAAAAATTCACACTGTTCAAATCCAGATCGAAAATGATCGAGAAATTGCAAAACCTACGAGAAAAGGGCGAGAGCGAAGGGAGAAAATGGAGGAAAGGGCTCTAGTGGTGCTCCTGAGATCGGTCAGCTGCCCGCGCTCTTTGTTGGTGATTCAATTCAAAAAAACAAAAAGGGTGAAATGAAACCCACACCGAAATGAACGTGAAATTCGCTTCAAATGGACCGTGTTCATTTACACGGCTATTTCTCCCAGTCATTCTGTGATATTAGCTACTTGCGACGCGTGTCCTATGTGATCTGGGCTTGGCGTAAATATGAATAATATCATGCCCTAAGTGACCCGTTATAATAATACATTATGCAGAATAATTGATCTGAGTTAGTTACTAGTATTTTTTTTTTTTTATAATTAAAAAAGAGGTGAGAGCAAGGTAAATTGCTTAGAAACCACCCGTTAGACTTTCACAAATGGAATCATAAAACTCTTGATCTAGTCTGGAACACCTCTTGGGACAAGACATAACTAGATTAGCATAGTGACCAACCATCAATCCCTAACGCGAACTCCAAATNTATATTTAAAAAAGAGGTGAGAGCAAGTTAAATTGCTTAGAGACCACCCGTTAGACTTTCACAAATGGAATCATAAAATTCTTGATCTAGTCTGAAACACCTCTTGGGACTAGACATAACTAGATTAGCATAGTGACCAACCATCAATCCCTAACGCGAACTCCAAATCTCAAATTTCTAACCTCTGAGTGAAGAGTAAGACCGATATCACCACTAAAGTAGTATGTTGGTTATTAGAAGATATTCAAATAGTGAAATTTACTATACACATATGATATACTATTATTTATTGATGATATCTTGGGTCACTAATAATGTGATATCACAATTATATTAAATATTTTTTGCGTAAAGTAAGCTGGTNATAAGATCGATATCATCACTAAACTAGTATGTTGGTTATTAGAAGATATTAAAATAGTGAAATTTACTATACACATATGATATACTATTATTTATTGATGATATCTTGGGCCACTAATAATGTGATATCACAATTATATTAAATATTTTTTGCGTAAAGTAAGCTGGTTTGAGTCCTGAAAAAGTCAAAAGCTATTGTCAATTTTTATTTAGGTAATTTTTAGGGTAATAATATGTTACAAAAAAAAATAATATCATACCAAAAATTATTATTTTTTAAGATCAAATTATAAATTTTAAAATAAAGTTATAATTGTTTGAGATAACTTTATAATCAATCATGAAATATTATAATCGATCATAAGTACCCCTCAGTTATAACTTCATCTTTAAATATACCTTTTTTTTTCTTTTGAGTTATTTAATAAAATTAACGATTTCCTCTTATTAAATTATTTTATGTGGCCGTCTAATCAATTGTTATCACTATCTTTTACTTTACTACTTTATTTTGTTAAAAAAATTACTTCAATACAATAATAAATAATTTTTCAAAAATCTATAATATAAAATATAATAAGTTTCAATAAGCTCATCCGATGGTCTTAAATAAACTCATCAAATAGTCACTAACATCATTTTTAAAATCATTCACATTGTGTTGTACCTTGAGGTATAAATTACCCCCCTAATGTCGATATAAGATGGGTGGAGTAAGGGTAAAAAGATGATGTTAATTTTGAGCACAACACGAAACAACAACTAAGTTTTAAACTACAATGGTATTATGTTGTGTCATGTTTTTTATGTAATGAATCGGCGTAGATAATATATCTTTGACTGGATCGAAGAGAAGATTAATCGAAATACACGTAAGTTGACTCGAACATCAATGACCGTTGAACCAAAAAAAAAAAAAAATTATGCAATGAACATGTTTAAATTTAGGTCAAATTCACTGCATAAATTTGGATTCAAATCAGCCATGCGTCTCACCTTATTATCCACCATCAGTAATGTGCTTATTGATATCTATGTGTTCATGGGACAACCCAAATTCACTACATCATTTACGTCACGTGATCACATTATTAAACAAAAAAATGACAAAAGATAAACATACAAGCCATTTTAATATTGGCCGTTGTCATTACTCTATAAACCGATAATAATGTTATTTAAACTTAATTTTCAAACATATTTGTTGATCCAATTTATCATAATTATTAGATTAGTTGTAGGTCCCAATAAATACTTGGACTCAATATCAAACAAATGATTATAAATGATTAGATTAATAAATTATATTAATAAATTAAATTTAAATAACATTGTTCTAAAAATGGAGGCAGCGTCAAAACAGATTTGGGACAAAATTAAAAAAAATAATAATAATAATTTTGAACAGCTTGTGCAAGTCATATGGGGCTGCAAAGGAAAGAGGATTGAAATTGGAGGAGATGATTGTTAGAGATGGGAAGCAAAATCATTATGCAAGAGCATGAGATGCAATCATGTGCCATGAGAGTATGTGCTCACCGCACCTTTCTTTCATAAAGGCATCATATCCCCCACATTATCATATAAATCATAACCCAAATTTAAATAAGCAAAACAATTTATACCAATTTTATACAATTATTGGGTGAGATGGGATCTTACACATGTACCCTTTTCATGCTGGTTTGTGTACTAATTTCTCTATACAGTGATGTGCCAATATTATTATGTATGGTCCCATGCATTATAGACATAGATGTATTGACGTTAAAATTAGATTACGTATTACATGTGAATAAAGAAACTTACAAAGCAGATATAGTAAGAACATTTCCTTTGAGAGATAAAAGAGAATACCCAAGAATAAAATAAAAGAAAACTTTGTATTTAGGGGAGACTACAATTTTTGTAATCTCCCATTGAGAATAAAGTAGTGGAATTGGGAAAGAAAGGGCTATTTTCATCTGCATAATGCTTGGCAAATGACAACCTTTGTTTGAAATAAGCCTAACCCCAAAAGAATTTCTTCCTTTTTAAAAGGGGGTATCGAATGAAATTGTAGAAAGATTTGGGGAGATAAAGTGAGAGGACACTAAAATACATCCACAGTGTTGCAAACTGACAAGAATCATTTCCAAATGGTGAAATCAAAGCAGTCTATCTGGGTCCCCCACTTTACATTCATGTCTTCATTTTATCATCTCACGATATAATAGCATAAAATACATTACAGAAGAGTGTTAATCATAGTTAATTTAAGGTAGATAATAGAGACAAGTTGTAAATTCATATATTTTGAATTTTAATTTTGGTAATTCTGTTTATCCTAATCTCAACGTGGATGACTAGTTTTTAACTGGACCANAAGTTGTAAATTCATATATTTTGAATTTTAATTTTGGTAATTCTGTTTATCCTAATTTCAACGTGGATGACTAGTTTTTAACTGGACCAGAGAAGAGATTAGTTGAGATGCGCGTAAGTTGACTCAGACACTCCATATTGTCAAATCCAAGAAAAAAAATTGTACTTTAAGACCATTTACAATGTTATCTCCGAGTTTTTATTTAAAATTGACTCAAATTTTAGTAAAAAAAAAATTTTTGGTACAAAAACACTAAATACATATTTAAAAAATGACAAACTCAAATTTAAAAGAGGCTAAAATACGACAATTAAATCTTTAAAAAAAAATTTAAAATATAATCATTGGAATTTTGAGTAAATATTTTATTCTCTTTTGATTTGATTGAAAACTAGTCTCCTTTTGATTTTAGTATAAGCTTGAGTAAAGAACTTGTTGGAGTATAGATAGTCTAGATTTATTAGGATTTCTTTTCCTTTTTTTATCCTTATTATGATTTTTATATTTTGCCTAAACTACAAGGATGTTTAAGTCACTCTGTATTATTTTTGGATATATATACGGGGTTCTACTCTTAATTTGAGTACCTCCTTTTACTCACAATTATTTCAAGTTGGTATCAGAGCCAAAACCCTAACCCCAGCCCCTCCTCCACGTCACAGCTACCCACCGCCTGAACTGCCAGCAGTGATATCAAAGCAACTTCACCACGTTGCAGCCATCAACCACCGACTGCCCACTCCATCGACACAGCAACCAGCAACCACCACCACCGACAATCGACAGCCTGCAACAATCATTAAACCCACTTCCCAGAAACTTCACAAGACCCAGCAACATACAAGAACCGACATAGTCCAAATCACCTACTGCCCAGATTGCCCAATAACACCGACTGCCCTGAACCCACCAACAGTCCCAATCCAAACTAACAGCAACCCAAGTCCACCGACTGCCTATACCCCTTTTTAACTCACCTGCAAAGCCGAATACCCACCTGGACCGACAAATCCCAGCGAAACCAAATACCCACCACCGACAGCAAACAAAGACCAGCCGACAAACAACATATACCATTACCATATACACCGAAACCCATACACAACCATATACACCGAGACCCAATACCATATACCCACTGAAACCAAACCGACTGGCCATATATAGCCTGTCCCGCGCCCTTTACCCATTCTCCATATAATAATAATAATAGATCCAACCCAATAAACCCAATAAAACCACTCCTACTGCTAGATCATTGTCCAGCCCACTNAATA